CATTTGTTTCCAGAAACCTTTTGATTTCTTCCCTAATATCATTCTTGACCCATTCATTGTTTAATAGCATGCTATTTAATCTCCATGATTTTGAGTGTTTTTGGTTTTTTTTCCTTCGGGTTGGTTTCTAGCTTCAGTCCCTTGTGGTCTGAGAAAATGCTTAGTATGATTTCAATTTTCTTGAAATTCTTGAGGCTTGTTTTGTGTCCTATCATGTGGTCTATCTTTGAGAATGTTCCATGTACATTTGAAAAGAATGTATATTTAGCTTCTTTTGGATGGAGGGCTCTGTATATATCAGTAAAGTCCATTTCATCAAGGGTATTGTTCAATGCCACAATATCTTTGTTGATATTTTGTTTAGAAGATCTGTCCATTTTTGATAGCGGGGTGTTAAAATCTCCCACTGTAATTGTGTTGCTGTCCATATCTTTCTTGAAGTCCTCTAAGATTTTCTTTATGTATTTCGGTGCTCCTATGTTGGGTGCATATATATTTACAATATTTATGTCTTCTTGATGGATTCTTCCCTTGAGTATTATGAAGTGACCTTCTAGGTCTCTCTTTATGGACCTTGTTTGGAAGTCTATTTTGTCTGATAGGAGTATTGCTACCCTGGCTTTTTTTTTCCTGTCCATTTGCTTGGAAGATTTGTTTCCAGCCCTTCACTTTCAGCCTGTGTAGGTCTTTTATCCTGAGGTGGGTCTCTTGTAGACAGCAGATATGTGGGTCATTTTTTTTCTTATCCAATCAGCTATTCTATGTCTTTTGATTGGAGCATTTAATCCATTTACGTTTAAGGTTATTATTGATAGGTACTTATTCATTGTCTTTTATGTACGTGTGTTCCTCTCTCTCTCTCTCTCTCTCTTCTCTCCTCCTTAAAGCAATCCTTTTAGAATCTCTTGCAGAGCTGGTTTGGTCGAGGTGTATTCTTTTAGACTTCTTTTGTCTGGGAAGCTTCTTATTTGGCCTTCTATCTTGATTGAGAGCCTTGCTGGATATAGTAGCCTTGGTTGCAGACCTCTGGTTCTCATTACGTGGAGTATTTCTTGCCACTCTCTTCTGGCTTGAAGTGTTTCCATTGAGAAGTCAGCTGTTAGCCTTATTGGGGCTCCCTTGTATGTTACTTCCTTCTTCTCCCTTGCTGCCTTTAAGATTCTCTCTTTGTCTTGAAATTTTGTCATTTTAATTATGATGTGCCTTGGGGTGGGTCTCTTTGGGTTCCTCTTGATTAGGACTCTCTGTGTTTCCTGGATTTGTGTGACTTTTTCTCTCATCAAATTAGGGAAGTTCTCCTTCATTACTTGTTCAACCAGGTTTTCGATCCCTTGCTCTTCTTCTTCTCCTCCTTCTGGTATCCCTATTATACGGATATTATTACGTTTCATATTGTCTTGCATTTCTCTTAATCCCTCCTCATTCTTTCTGAGCCTCTTTTCCTTTTCTTGCTCTTTCTGGATGCTGTTTTCTATTTTGTCCTCCAGCTCGCTAATTCGATCTTCTGCTTCATCAATCCTGCTTTTCATTCCTTCTACTGTGTTCTTCAGTTCAGAAATTGTATTCTTCATTTCCTGTTGACCTTTGTTGAGAGTTTCTATTTCCTTTTTCATGTTTATATAGTTTGCAGTGAGATTGATGTAGTTTCCCTCTAATTTCTGAAAGCTCATTGTGAGTTCATTGAACTTCCTGGTAATCATTGTTTTGAACTCACTATCTGATAGTTGGGTTGCCTCTATTTCATTTAGCATTTTTCCTGAGGCTTCCTCGTTTCCCTTCAGTTGGGGGTTGTTTGTTTTCTCACTGTTCGTGGGTTTCTTCTTTTTTCTTCTTGATTGTTAGTTTGAACTGTTCTGATTCCCTGTAATTATGGTGTGAACTTCTGTAGTAGAATATTTGTGTGTTTCAGTGGTGCAATCTCCTTCGTGTATCCCGGTGTTCACAGCTTCCTCCTACTCTTTTTTGGGATCAGTTGGAGGAGTAAGGCAAAATGGTTTAAAACAGCAAGACAGTATACTATGATATTTACTTTAGCAGCCAGTAGGGAAGAGATGGGTTATCCTTTGGCTCCTTATAGTGTTAACCGTGATCCTCCATCCCACTATCCACGTTTTAGAAAGGATGGAAAGAAGGCAAGACTCTTATTGGGGCCAAGAGGATTTTTAGTTGGATCTAGAAAGCTGTGAGGCTGTGGGAGGTCAGCTTCTAAGGTAGGGTTGGACTAAAGATTAGTATATAGGAGTAGTGAGTTCAAGAATAGAGACAACGCCCACAATAGTATAGTTCAGAAAATTGCAAAGTGGGCTGAGATCAGGTAGGGGCATTGAGAAACATTTACAATTGTATAGACTAGGTCTTACTAGCAGTAATAGTAAAGTGACAGTCTTGTGGCAGAATCGATGAGGTCTAGATAACAAGAATAAAGAGTATAGAACCTTGAGAGGTGTGTTAATGGAACACAGATGAAGGATAGTAACTTATCAACACCTTGTGACTGAGATACCAGGGGGAACCTATCAAATGACAGTATAACCAGCCAAGCAAAGAAGATTATACAGAAAGAAAAAGAATACCAAAATATTATTAAAATAAAAAAATGTCAGAAAAGTGAGAAAAAGATAATACAAATTTACAGTAACTTGCAAGATTAAAAAAAAAGGAAAGAAAAGCAGAAGATGTAGTGCAGGAGAGATAAATTTGGAGTGGAGAGAATAATATTAGGTTGAATGGAAGAGAAACATAAGGGATTGCGAGATAAAAATAATAAGAATTGAAAAAAAAGTCACATAAAACACAAGATAAAATCAGTCAACCAACAACAGCCAGAGAAACCAAACAAAACCAAAAAAACAAACAAACAAACAAACAAAAACCTCTTGTTGGTTTCTAACTGGCCAGACCAGTTTTTCTGCTCTTGCTGGCTTCAGCTGGCTGAGGGGCCTTTGAAATGCTTCTCTCTCTCACAACCCCATCTCAGCAAGTCCGTCAGGTACCCTGGGCACCCCCGCACACACTGGCGCGCGAGAGTCAGTCTTCCCGACGACGGAGCCCAGCCGTTTCCAGCTCCTTGTTCCCGCCGTACTGCACTCTGACTGGATGTTGGCGCCTTTCCCGGCTCCCCCAGTCGGGCTGGCTGGAAATCTCAGAGCCACCACTGCAGTTACGCACCCAGCACCACGTCCCTCCCGGTATTGCAGCACGAGATTCCGGGATCGCCGCGAGAGATTCCGGGTCGCAGCGCAGGATTCCGGCCTCCCTATGGGGCGTGTGCTCTCCGCCGATTTGCACTTCCGCTGGGCTAGAGATGCCCCTTGTCCTATCGGCTAGAGGCTCTCACTTCTCCTCAGTCTCTGGGCGGCTGTTCATATTCCCTGGGCGATTTTTTCTCAGTCCAACTGGCCAATCTGTTCCTTCTAGCAACCCGTTCTCCCCTGGAGTTTCTCACCCCCGTATTTGGGGGAGGGAGGGAGCAGCGGCTTCCCTCTCCCAGGAGCCCTGGGGCAGAGCCCGGAGCACCGGGCGGGCCTGGGGTCTGCACATCCCCAGACCCCGCGCTGATCCCTGGGCCCCTTTTGTCTTGTATCAGACTGCTTACCGACTGGTTTTCCAGTGAGTGCAATAATTTCTGATGTCCTGCTTTCAAAAGTGATTCGGCAACCCAGCCCACTTGCTCTGTCTCTCCACCGATCCGCGAGTTTCCCCCCTCTTCACAGAAGCCGAGAAAAACGCTGCCTAGAGTAAAGCCGCCATCTTCCCTCTCTCGCTTTATTTCTTAACAGAGCCATTCTCTTCAGCCAAGCTAATCTGCTTACCACCACCCCCATCCACAATTTGCCCCTTTCTACCTCTTGTCTTTTGCACTCACTGTTTTTTCTCCCCAAAAAACCTTTATCCTTTCAGCTCTAGGAAACTGCATCCTCTATTTTCTTAACAAGTTCCTTTAAGATTTAACTTTTCCAGGAAACCTTTATAGGTTAATTTGATCAGCTCAGTGTTTCATTTGTTTGAACCTTATGAAACTGTCAATATTTAGACAATTGACCTATAGAAACAGCAATTTCATATAATTCAGTATAAAACACTCCCCCCAACTTTTTGACTATTTTATTTATATTGTTAGTGTCTATTTCTTTATGTATTGCTTAAGGGGGCCCTCCCCCCAAATTTCTGAGTCTCTGACTGTCATAATACTCTGAAAGCATAAATAATCTTTTTTACCTTGATTGGGCCCGAAATGGAGCAAAGCACACCATGGGTGGTGAAGTTTGGCTTTTAATATATTCATTTTCCTGCACTCTATGGTGGGGCTCATCACTGTCTCTTGTATTACAGTTAGGAGTACACATGTCTGTCTTACTGACTGCTTATGAACTCTGTAAGGGCAAAGGCAAGGCCTAATTAATCTTGGCCATTTCCCCTGTACCTAGCACAGTGCCTAGTACATGGTACATCTTCAATAAATATTTGCAGAACTGAGTTGAAGGATTTGCTGCACCTTTTTGCTCTGCAAAGCATAGAGGAGGCCTGGGCATCCTCTAATCCTTTTAGAGAAAACCTCCAGAAAGCAACCTATGAATCCCTGAGCTGGTCCAGCACAATCAAACTACTAGATACATGTAGATCTCAGCAAACAGCAAATCCATGACAACCATTCTGGCAGTACACTCACCTTTCCCTGGAAGCCTGCCAACTGCCACTGGCAGGCTCAAGAAAGCAAGAAAGCAAGTGCCAGTTAGTTTTTCTACTTTGAGTTTCTCTGCCCTTCCCCACACATCAACTGTGTCTGCCTACATGGTCTTGGGGTAGGGAGAGTAGTATGCTTTCTTTGTGTATAATTCCTTAGGTTCATAGATTCTGACCCTGGGAAGACACTAACCTGCTGGTCTCTCTAATACATATATAAAACAGTCAATGAAATAGCACCCTTGGAGCCCTTGGGGGCATTACACAAGCTGTCAGTTAATCCTTCCTGCATTCATTACATAATGCCTTCTTTTCAGAGTTTCTGTGGACAGCCCTTGAACTGCTGAGAGCCCCCAGAAGCAGCAGGTCAGGTTCTTTTGCAGGAGATGTCTATAGCTTTGCCATCATCATTCAAGAAATTATGGTCTGGGGAACCTCATTCTGTATGATGGATCTACCTGCTGAAGGTAAGCAAGAGGTGAGAAAGGGCACCAGTGGCTAACCATGACCCAGACTATCAGGCCAACCCAGGCTGTTGTGAACTGCAGAAGAGTGAACACAGCTATTTGTTTGTGCTAACTGCTTGCTAGACTGCAAGTAGCCTGTGTTCTGTGCAGGTGGGACTTGCATTTGGAAGAAATTTTCCCACCCAAGAAGCTGGTCCTTTTCCAAACTGTGACATAAACCAAGGGCCTACAAGATCTATGTCAGTCCTTTATTTTTTTTAAATTTAAATTATTTTATTGTAGTTCAATTACTGTTGTCCATATTTTCTCCCCACCCCCTCCAAACCCACTCCCTACCTTGCTTCCACCCTCCTGCTTGGTTTTGTCCATTTGTCCTTTATAGTAGTTCCTGGAAACCATTCTCCCCACTGTCTCCTCTCTGCTCCCCTCTGGCTATTGTTAGATTGTTCTTAATTTTAATGTCTCTGGTTATATTTCGTTTGCTTTTTTTCTTTTGTTGATTATGTTCCAGTTAAATGTGAGATCATATGGTATTTGTCCCTTACCACCTGGCTTATTTCACTTAGCATAATGCTCTCCAGTTCCATCCATGCTGTTGCAAAGGGTAGGAGCTCCTTGTTTCTCTCTGCTGCGTAGATTCCATTGTGTAAATGTCCTATAGATTTTTGATCCACTCATTTGCTGATGGGCACTTAGGTTGCTTCCAGCACTTGGCTATTGTAAATTGTGCTGCTATGAACATTGGGGTGCATAGGTTCTTTTGGGTTGGTGTTTCAGGGCTCTTAGGGTATAATCCCAGCAGTGGAATTGCTGGCTCAAAAGGCAGTTCCATGTTTAGCTTTCTGAGGAAATTCCATACTGTTTTCCACAGTAGCTGCACCAGTCTGCATTCCCACCAACAGTGCACTAGAGTTCCCTTTTCTCTGCATCTTCTCCAACACCTGTTGTTTGTTGCTTTGTTTATGATTGCCATTATGACTGGTGTGAGGTGGTATTTCATTGTGGTTTTAATTTGCATCTCTCTGATGGCTAGTGATGCTGAACATCTTTCCATGTGTCTCTAGGCCCTCTGCATGTCCTCCCTGGAGAAGTGTCTGTTCAAGTCATTTGCCCATTTTTAAACTGGGTTGTTTGTCTTCCTGGAGTGGAGTTATGTGAGTTCTTTATATAGTTTGGAGATCATGCCCTTGTCCAAGGTGTCATTGGCAAACATGTTTTCCCATATAGTTGGTTCCCTTTTTTATTTTAGTACTGTTTTCTTTAGCCATGCAGAAGCTTTTTAATTTAATGAAATTAAAAAGCTTAATTTCTTTTTGAAATTAAGCTTTTGAAATTCATTTGTTTATTCTTTCCTTTATGACCCTTGCTTTAGGTGACATATCCATGAAGATGTTTCTGTGTGGAATGTCTGAGATTTTCCCACCAATGTTTTCCTCTAGGACTTTTATGGTGTTACGACTTATATTTAAGTCTTTTATCCACCTTGAATTTGTTTTTGTGTATGGTGTAAGTTGGCGCTTGAGTTTCATTTTTTTGTACCTAGCTGTCCAGCTCTCCCAACACCATCTGTTGAAGAGGCTATTTTTGCTCCATTTTATGCTTCTTCCCCCTTTGTGAAATATAAATTTACCATAGAGACGTGGGTTTATTTCTGGGTTCTCTGTTCTGTTCCATTTGTCTATGTGTCCGTTTTCATGCCAGTACCAGGCTGTTTTGATTATGGTTGCCTTGTAATATAGCTTGATATCAGGTATTGTAATCCTTCCTGCTTTGTTCTACTTTCTCAAAATTGCTGCAGCTATTCACGGACATTTATTATAGGAGACTGTTCTGTGTGGCGTGGGCCCAGCTCCTACTCGGAGATGCACAGGACCCATGCCCATGGATAGGTTCTCCTGTGGGGAATCAGGCCTGCAATGTACCTAGGCCCTATGAGTCTTGCTTTTTGCTAAAATTTCCTCACCCTGAATTGAGGATATTTACTGCAAAGTAACTTCCTAAAATCCATGCTAAACCTTCCAAGGATGAGTGTAACCAGTTCAACCACTTTTGCCTTTTCATTTGCAAATATCCCTCTTCTGTGATGTGATTAGCAGCATTGGATCCTTTGTTTTCTGTAAAAGGTAACCACCTAAAGCGAACCTGGGCATAGTAAATGAGGACCATCATGTGATGGGCAGAGAAACTCAATAAAGGCCTGTCCTGGTGGAGGCTGTGGATTTTTACTCCCCTTGAGAGAAAAGCCATGCTGTCTGTTTTCCTCCACTGGACTTGGTAGCCTCTGTGAATGTCTCATTTCATCCATAATGATGTGGATTCTGCGGGCTGGTGTCTGCATCAGTTTATGATTCCATATAAATTTCTCAAATGTTTGTTCCATATTTGTGAAATATGTCATGGGTACTTTAATAAGGATTGCATTGAATCTATAAATCACTTTGGGTAGTATGGACATTTTGATGATGTTAATTCTTCCAATCCATGAGTGTGGTACATGCTTCCATTCATATGTGTCTTCCTTAAATTCTTTCTTCAATGCTGCATAGTTTTCTGAGTACAAGTCTTTAACCTCTTTGGTTAGGTTTATTCTTAGGTACTTTATTTTTTATTGTTCCTATATCAAATGGGATTGCTTTTCTTGATTTCTGTTTCCGATGTTTCATTGTTGGTGTACAAAAATGCCTTTGATTTTGGAGTATTGACTATGTAACCACCTCTTTTGCCAAATTCATTTATTAGGTTGGGTAGCTTTTTTGGTGGATTTTTTGGATTTTCTATGTACACTCTCATCTGCAAACAATGACAGTTTTGTTTCTTCTTTTACAATTTGGATGCCTTTTATTGTTTTTTCTTGTTCGATTGCTGTGGTTACGATTTCCAGTATTATGTTGAATAGTAGTGGTGAAAGTAGGCATCCTTGTCTTGTTCCTGATGTTAGTGGGAAAGCTCTAACTAAGTTTTTGTCCATTGAGTATGATGTTGGCTGTAGGTCTCTCATATATGGCCTTTATTATGTTGAGGAATGCTCCCTCTATTCCCACTTTGCTGAGTGTTTTTTACCATAAATGGGTGCTGACCTTTATCAAATGCCTTTCCACATCTCTTCATAAGATGATATGAATTTTGTCTTTCATTTTGTTTATGTGGTGGATTATGTTTATTGATTTGTGAATATTGTACCATCCTGGCATCCCTGGGATGAATCCCACTTGGTCATGGTGTATGATCTTCTCAATATATTGCTCGATGCAGTTTGCCAATATTTTGTTCAGGATTTTAGCATCTATGTTCATGAGCAACACTGGCCAGAAGTTTTCTTTCTTTGTTATGTCTTTATCTGGTTTTGAGATTAGGATGATGTTGGTTTCATCAAAAGAGTTTGCAAGTCTTCCATCTTCCTGACTTTTTGAAATAATCTGTGGAAGATGAGGGTTAGCTCTCCCTTAAATGCTTTGTAAAATTCTCCTGTGAAACTGCCTGGTCCATGGCTTTTGTGTGTTGGAAGCTTTTTCATTACTGTTTCAATTTCATCAGGTGCTATTGGTCTGTTCATGCTTTCTGCTCCTTCTATATTGAGTTTTGGTAAATTATATTTTTCTAGAAATTTGTTCATTTCACCTAGGTTTTCAGGTTTCTTGGCATATAGTTCTTCATAGTAATTTCTTACAATCCTTTTGTATTTCTCTGGTGTCAGTTGTAATCTCTCCTCTTTCATTTCTGATTGTGTTTATTTGGGTCCTGTCTCTTTTTTTCTTAATGAGTCTCCTTAAAGGCTTGTCAATTTTGTATATCTTTTCAAAGAACCAGCTTCTGGATTCATTGGTCCTTAGAATTGTGCTTTTAGTCTGTATGTCATTTAATTATGCTCTGATCTTGGTTATTTCCTTCCTTCTACTTGCCCTGGGTTGTCTTTGTCGTTGTTCCTCAAGTTCTTGTAGGCACAGAGTTAGATTGTTTGTTTGAAATGTTTCTATCTTTTTGAGGTAGACCTGTATCACTATGATTTTACCTCTGAATATTTCTTTGGGTTTTGATTGCTGTTGAGACTTTCTTTTATGGGTCCTTTCCACCATCTGGTTAACTGAGGGTCACTCTGTCCACCACCTCTAGTGTTCTGTTGTGCAGGTGTGGCAAGTTGTGTTGAAGCTGGTTCTTCCTTGTGTACAAGGTTTTGGGCATTCTCTCTTGTTCTTATTCAGTTGTTTGTTCTGCGTAATTTCTCCACTATTTAGTTGTACTTCGAGACACGTCCTGAATTGAATTCGTGTGGCTTCTACTGTCTCCTTCACTTTCTTCTGTTTTTTATCTCTTGGTAGTTCCTTTGTTGTTGGTTTCTTCTTCAAGCAGGCATCCTGGTGTTCACAGCTTCCACCTACTCTTTTTTGTGATCAGTGGAGAGGGAGGCAAAAGTGTTTAAGTTAACAAGAATATATTCTATCATACTTACAGTACTAGTCCATAGAGAAGAGATAGGAGATCCTTTCCTATGTATAGTGTTAACCATGATCTTTCACCCAAGTAGCCATTTTTTTGGAAATGGTGGAAAGAAGATAAGACTCTTGTTGGGGAGGGGGGGAGAATTGTGAGTTGGATTTAGAAAGCAGTGAATTTGTGGTAGGTCAGATTATGAGGTAAAGTGAGAGGAAAGGATAGAAAATAGGTGTAGTGTGTGAGACAATAGAGTTAAGCACAACAGTAATAGAGTTCAGGAAACCGTGAAGTGGGCTAAGACCTGGGAGGGGTGCTGTGTAGTGTTTACAATTGCATGAAGGAGCTATTATTTACAATAATGGAGCAATAATCTGAATGACAGAATCTATGAGATACAGATAACCAGAATAGGAAGTACAGGACCTAGAGTAGTGTGCTAATGGAACACAAGTCTAGTGAAACACAGTAAATTAACAATGCACTATGAAAGAGTTATCAGGGGAAACCCGTCAAATGATACAATATAAACAGCCTATCAAATCAGACTATACAGAAAGATGAGGAATACAAAAATACTAATAAAATAAAAGATGTAAGACTAATGAAAAAATAATAGTACAAATATGCGATAGCTTGCAAGTTCTCTGTAGTAGCAATGTGAAATATGTCTCACTGTCTCAGCTGTTGGGATGCCCCCTCTTTGGTCCAACTGTGGTCTTTTCACAGTTCCAGGGTTTTTTGTCTCACTTGTGGGAATTATAAAAAAAAAAGGAAGGGAGAAGAGACAAAAAGGGAAAGAAAGGAAGAAGGAATAAAACAAGAAAGAAGGAAAGAGAGGAAGAAGGAGTTAAAAGAAAAAAAAAAGGAATTTTTTTTTAAAAGCCTCCCACTGGCTTCAAACTGGTGAAGCCAGTTTTGCTGGTCTTTCCTGGCTGCAGCAGGCTGAGGAGTGATTGATTTTGCTTTTCTCTCTTCCTGATCGGCACTCAGTCAGCCTCTAGCCCAGTTCCCCAGCAGCCTCTGGTCTGGGTTTGCACTCTCCTGGGGGCTTTGGGTGTGGGCACTGGGCCTTCCTCAGAGGGCACTCTCTGCAGGGCTTCGGGCATGCACGCTTGGTCGGGCCACCTCTGGTCCCTCAGGTTCAGTGCCTACTCTTCCCAGGACTATGGAAGTGTGGGCAGGGCCTTCCTCACCACATTGGGAGAGCCATGTGGCTGGGTGGGGAGGAGGCCAGAGTGGCTGCTGCAGGAGAATTCTCTGAACATCCACCAAGTGTCTCTTTTTTCCCTTTTTCTTTTTGAGAAATTCCTCCTGCTCAGGCCTGCCACTCCATACAGAGGCCTTTCCTCTCACACAGCCCACCTCTCCAACCAGACTGGGGACTATCCAGGTCAGGGCCCATCATGGCCCAACTCTCAACTCTCCCCAGCCGGCATCCACAGGCTCCTTGAGTGCTCACAGCCCCGTGTGTTTGCCACTTAGTCCTTATTCCCCTCTCTGGGACTTCAAGCAACCAGGTCTCTCCTGGTGCTTGCTGCTCAAACCTTGTTTGGCAGGGGAGGGAGCCGTTGAGACAGCTCTCCCCCAAGAACCCTGTGGCAGACCCAGTGGGTGCCTGGCCTGGGGCTGCAGCCCCCCTGGTCCCTGTGCTGGTCCCAAGGACCTTATTGTCTGCAGCACTCTCCTTACTGTCTGGTCTTTCAATGCCAGCTACAATTTTTGGTCTCCTATCTTCATATATGCTGGGGTACTGTTGGCTGTTCACTCTGTTCCTAAGTAGATCGGCTAGGTATTTCACCTGTGTACAGGGGGAAGTGGACTCAGCTCTTCCCTACCTGACTTCCATCTTCTCACCTGTCCTTCATTTTTAACCTCCCTCTACTCCTCTCGGACACCCCCTGCCATGTATTTCAGCATCCCTAATAGTGCTCCTGGATGGCATCGTCCTCCCATACTTTTCCTGTGTCATGCCACAGGCTTTCATCCTCCTCTCCCTTTGGCTATCAGCAAAATAAGTGGTAAAAACAGTGGGCAAAAGTTTGATGGTAAGCAGGATATTTGCATATTCTAAAAGTACAAACCCACTAACTTTATTAGTGAAAGATCCTACAGATACTGTCTTAGCCATGTGATCAAGGCACATCAATGTCATCTACTCCCTGACTTGATGCACTGAGAAGGGCACAATACCACCTGTGGAGTATTCTTGGCAAAAAAATTATAGTCCCAATATAACTATGGGAAAACATCAGACCTACCCTAATTGAGAGGCATTCTGCAAAATAACTGGCCAATGCTCATCAAAAATATCAAAGTCATAAAAGACAGAGAAAGAATTAGGAACCATTACAGATTGGAGGAGATTGAGAAATAACTCCTCGAGACAACTCCAACCAGTTAAATCCAATGTGGGATATTGAATTGAAATGCAGGACAGAAGGAGAATATTATGGGGAAATTGACGAAATTCAAATGAAGATTCTAGATTAGTAATATTGATAGTACTGTACTAATATTAGTTTCCCTCATATTATGGTGATATAAGTTGTTAACATTAGGGGAAGCTGAGTGAAGTCTATACAGGCAATTTTACTATTTTTACAATTTTTCTAGAAGCCTAAATTTATTTCAAAATAAACGATTTAAAAAAATGCAAGCAAAACAAAACCCCCCAAGTACTTAGCTATCCTTTGCCCCACTTAGAATCCCACATCCTTCCTCTACTCAAAGCTCCCCAACTGTCCTCCATCACTTGTTAAATGAAGCACATATTTTCCACATTACATACAAGACTCTTTATAGTCTGGCTCCTAACCACCTCTCCAGGCTTATCTTCTGTCACTCCCCACACTCTACCTAAACCCATGACAGGCAGTGGTCTAAAATCTTTGTGGTTTCTCCTACCTCCATGTCTTCTCACAGGCTGTTCACCTGGAATGACCTCACCTTCTTCCTACCTTGCCTCATCTAAATTGTGTCACCTCCTCTTGGAATCCTTCTGTGACCTCTTCAGTGTGAATTTGGTGCTCCCTCTGTGTTCACCTGAGAGTTTGTCTGCTAGAGCATGCATATTGTTGGTCATTGTTTATTTCCTCAGTTGGTCTGTGAGCTCCTCAAGGGCATGAATTATGGTTGACGTAATTACAGAGGTGACCTATTCAATTTGATGGTGTTCTGAAGAAGAGACACAGACTCCCTCTGCTAGAGTGAATGGGGGCAGTTGCTCCTCAAAGGGTTGATTTACATGAAATCTGTTGCATTGAAAGAGCAGGGTGCTGTGATGGAGAAACTATTACTGGTATAGGTCAACATGGGTTAAAAGAGCAAAGGGTGTGATGTCACAAGGAGCTGAGTTGTCTGAGGCAACAGCTGAAACTCTTTAATTTGGGCAAGGGGATGTTTATTATGGTCTAAAGCAGCACTGTTGTAGTGTTACAGCAAATGGGAAGAGCACACTGGTGGGGCAAGCAAGGTTTGGTCATAATGAGGATATTAGTGTTGGGGTTGTGGACTGGGGACTAAGGATAAAAAATGAGCTGAAGGGATTGAGTCAGGGAAATGAGTCAGGGGTTGGATTTTATGTTGTGGGTTATAAGAAGTCATGAATGGATTTTAGGCAAGAAAGTGGCATTGTCAAATTCATGTTTTAGGAATACTTTAGAGAAGGCTAGGCTGGAAGTAGAGACCTGTTTGAGACTAGTGTGGGTTGCTGGGGGCACTGATGGCTAACCATTTTCTACTTCCAGGGAGATTTCTCCCTTTGTAAAAACATAAGTTTGACTGATCTAGACCTCTGGTCAATGGTGGTTGTTGTGTCTGAATTGGAGTTTAAAAATTCCAGTTGAAGTATGAGGCATTTACAAGAAGGACAATGTAATAGACTGAGATTGCCTGGGATCAAATTTAAATTCTGTTCACTTACTATCCATGTGACTTTGAGTAAGTTACTTACTCTCTCAGTGCCTCAGTTTTCCCTTTTGAGAAATAAAAGATTCTTATCTCATCTGTGTATAATGAGAAGCAAGTGAAACAATGCATACAAAGTGCTCAATCAGCCCATAGTCTGATAAATGTTCCATCAAAAGTGGAGCTCAAAGACCAGCAACCAAGAGGACCCCGATGAGGTCCTGAAATATCTACTGGATTTTTAAATTCTCTTTCTTTAAGGGCCAGGCAGGACCCATAGCCTGGACCTGAGCTGAGCTGGGGCCTTAAGGCAGTGGGGTAGTAATTGTGTCTACTGTGAGGATTAGAAGACTTAGATGATTTGGGGATGAATGAAGGGAATCAGATCATCAGAGTTTTAGTTTTATAATTGACATCATATAGGCCACATATAAAACCTAGCAGAAGCAGGATAAAGCTCTGTTTAAATGATAACAATAGCTCAATTGACTGATTTTTTACCCCATCCTCAACTGACTGATGTAACCTTTGTTCAGATACAATTTATATTCATGTTATCTAAGGAGCAAGCAAGGAGATGGGCCTTCTGTGATTTCTCCTTTCTTGGCTAAAACTCACTTATCTTTGTTAACTCTTAGTGCTTTTCTGATGATTTGTAGACTTTTTTCTTGCTTCTGGACAGAAACCATAGACAAACTTGAGAAGCCTCTTCCTGTGTACAGACCAGTGGTTCCTCCTGAGCACACCCCTCCAGAATGTCTCCAGCTGATGAAGCAGTGCTGGGCTGAAGCTGAAGAACAACGACCAACTTTTGATGAAATATTTAACCAGGTAAGGGTTGCATGAATCTTAGCACTACCCAGTAGCCATCCTGAACCCAGCTTACCCCAAACTAACTCCTTGGATTGTCATGTTGTGGAAGGAACCTCTAGCAAGAGTAAAAGGCACTCTTTTGGGGGAAGTAGCCACTTGGAGACCTTTGATGCTAGAACATCCCAACACATTCTTAAAGAGCACATGGGTTCATTTTTGTGCTCTTCTGTATTTGGCCTTCTCTTCCAGACCATCTACAATCTGACCTAGCCAACCTTTCAATAGCAGAATTAAACAATCCGGTATTTTCAAAGCACTAGCATTGAGACTGTTACAAGATGGGTATCATGGAATAAATGGGGATCCTTATACAGCTGTGATTGCTTTGAAGATCACAGAAAACTCTGATGAGTATACTACTTAAATAATTGCAGGTTATTTTTGGAGGGTAGAGAAAAATATGGGGTTTTTGAAAAGGTGTTCAAGATTGGAGAAAGTGCAAATATGGAGTACAAAAGCAGTAGATAACTTAGGTTCCTGGGGAAGAACATGAGGCAATAAAGTGCCTGAGAAATGATAAACTTAAAATATGGAATTTCTAAAATAGCTGATTCTTTCCTTAGAGTGGGGAACTAAAAGGGGAAAATGAGAAAAGGACAGAGAGAGTCTTACTAAGGGAACTAGGGTGCAGTTCCTATGTTGGAGCAGGCAGTTTAGGGCTTTGTTGGAACTATAAGATGCTGAAACTCAGGGTGCTCTTGGTGAGTACTTTGTCAGCTCTGGTGAAGAGACTTCTGAGCTTGGCTGGAGTACAGCACTGAGATGCTTTGTGAGTGGCAGGCATCTGAGGCAGAAAAAAGAAACAGTGAGATTGAAAGCCCAAGGGGCCCTGCATATGAAGTCATCCCTGTCCCCAGCTAACAGTGCCTCCATTAGCCTGACTGGGTTTCTTGAGGACACTCAAGGAGATGTTCAATACTATGTAAAAGGTCAAATTTCTAAAAAGTTACCATGAGGAAAAGGAAAAAGCATTTGCCTTTGTGTTGATGCTAGAGATGTTATTTCAGATGGCAACAGAGAAGCTAGTGATAGATTGGAGTGTACATCGTGCAACCTTCAAACAAGACATAGCTGAAGCTGCCCTCACTGAAATGCTTCAGTGTAAGTTTAGACTGCCTAAAAGATAAGGGTAGCCTCCCAACCCCCTGTAGCTAATAAAACTTAAATGGAGAAAGGAGTGTAAGGCTCCCTGCATTAGGCAATAGGAGGAACCCAAAGCATCTGATCTGGCTACTGAGATTACCAGCAGGAACTTGGTGGACATCTAGATGTAGACCAGGCTTAGAAGAAAACTCCTAATGGTGTTAGCCTTGGGGTATTGAGTGCTAAATGGCAGATGTGTGGCTCAGCCATATAGGAAGGTTCATTGAGACAGATTTCTAGATGTCTTCCCAGCAAAACTACCACCAGTTTTTTTTTGTTGTGAACACAGCCTTGTGTGTGCTGAATATAGCAGCAAGGAGGGGCTACCCCCTCATGATTCCAATGCTATGCCAAGTTCCCCATCTCTGTAGGTAGAAAGGGTCCCAGGAAGGCATATTGAAAATCTGTGGCATACAGCCACTTCTAAAGGATCAGGACATATAATGGGGTAAGACCAATTGGATTTCTACATTACCCTAACATGAAGGGCAGATGATAAGAAACACCATTTTTTCTGGACTCCAGAGGGAAGAAACAGGGGTAGAACTTGGGTCATATTTAAGAGGTCAAAGAACATTCCACTGCCCAAGAACTGGCAACACAGCAGCATTAGAAGATAAGGATAATTTAGTAGGTTAATGTAGAAGGATAAAACAGCACTCCCTGATCTCTTTCCCCTTATACCACCCACAACTGGCCTGGGTTCAATAACAAATCCTTGTTGCCTTTGGAGTGGCTATGTTTCATGTGATAGTATCTCAGAACTAAAGAATCCTTCCCAGAACACCTTTGCTTACACTTGAAAGAAACAGAAAACCCAGGTGAACAACTACTCAAAAAAAAAAAAAAAGCCCTGTGAATGGTCCAGGTTAACAATGAGGGTGGGTGTTGACTTTTGCTACTTTTACTTGGGTTCACCTCTTCTGCCCTGGCATTTTAAAGGAAGAGATTTTTTTTGGTAAGGGGTCCTGCTCTATCATCACTAAGTTTCAGGTGTAAGAATTCTCTGGGTTTTCTTTCTGTTTCACTTTGCATTTGAAACTTTCAATAAAGAGGAGAAGACCAATGTTGATTCTATGCTTCGGATGTTGGAGAAATATTCTAACAACTTGGAAGATTTTATCTGGGAGTAGACTGAAGAGCTGGAAATTGAAAAGCAGAAAACAGAAGGCTTCTAACACAGATGCTACCACTGTATGTGTGAATACCAGAGGAGTGTGAATCCTTGCAACAGTGTGCTATTTAAAATAGAAAAAAAAGTCCATCAACTAACTGCTCTCTCTCTTTCCAGCACCCTCTCTACTCCCAGTAGGTTTGAGACACACATTCAATTAAAAGAAAAATTGGAAATCAAGGGAGCAGAGTACACTTCCTAATTTCCTACTACCTGTAGATCATGCTGGTCATTTAAGTTTTGGGTGATTTTGTTTTTCTATGCATCATTTCATCACTTTGCCTGGTAGTTGACCAATTAAAAAGAAGCAGCTTTTAATTGGCATTGCTTAGAGGAAAGTAGTAGGGTTGTTTTTCTAGGTTTTTCCTCCCTTAGTTAAAAGCTTTATCTGTTACTACAATTTCCAAATTTTCCAAGGCACCTTATTCTGGTGTAACATCACCTTCTAGGAGATAATTGGGGAGACTAGTCCCTTCCAAAGCAACCATCTGGGGACATTCCCCAAGGGCATGGGGTGCTGAGGAAGAAGGATACAGAGCTAAAAAAACTCCACAAAGGCACAGAGCAGCACTGTCTGTTCATTGTTATATTCCAGTACCTAGCACAGTGCTTGGCACATTGTAAGCACTTAATATATATTTATAGAATAATTAAATTAATTAATGTTTTCATCCAAGTGACATTTTCTTCCTCATCATTTGCTTAGTAGTGATTTTTGGAGAAATTGTATTCTAGAAGATGTGTGTGTGGCATAGAGGAAGGACTGTGTCATTTGATGCATTGCTCTGTCTGCTCTTCACACCAGTTGCTGAATCCCTCTGAAAGGGGTGCATGGTCAAACGTGAATGTTTTGACTTGGTCACCTTGTACTTCAGTGACATTGTGGGCTTCATGACTATCTCCACAATGAGTGGAGTAAAAAAGTAAAAAAAAAAAAGAAATTAAAATTTAAGTAGTGAATTTAAAATTTTCCATTGGTATCCCATTGGAAATGAAAGCCAGATAGAATGTATATAATTTAACACTTTTCAAAATAACAGTCTTAACCCAGCAAGAAATTGCTGATGAGATTTCCTTTAAGCCATTTTCTAGAACTGGGACTAAGAAGAGGTTGGGTCTAAGAGGTTGGGACTAAGAAGAGTGTTACTTCAGTGGCTGACTACCCACAGTATAGGCAGTGTTATGCTAGGCACTGAAGGGAATTCAGAAGAAGTGTTGGTGTTTCTCCTGTAGTTGGTGACTGCTATAGAGTTCATCTTGGTGAAGTTTGAGTAGAAATACATGGTGTTAAATTTTGGTTTCCCCTTTAGGTACCGTTTTTATACAAAAGGGAATTCTAACATTACTCATATTGAAGAGCTATTGGATCTGAGGCTCTTAGGGATTGCTACAGGGTAACAACTAAAAGACCACCTATTGGTCTGAGGTCTGGGAAGTAGTTAACTGTGAGGTCATAATCCTGTGCTCCTACCTTTCTCCACTCCTCCAAATTGTTGATTTCTACTCTTCCTGTCAAAGTTTGCAAAAGATGAGTAGAAAACAGATGACTACATTCACTTTTTTTGGTGTAATGCTTCCTTGCCCTTGATTTTATGTGTTATCTTGTCTCTAGGCAGAAACTTGGTAAAATTTTTGTAGCTATGAAGTGACATTTCCACATTGTCTACAACATGGAAACTTGTATTATTAATGGAGAAAGATGCCCCAGGCATCCCAAATTTTAGACAGCTTATCTGTCCCAGCAACCAAAGCAGACCTGGAGAATGCGTAGCCCCTTTTATTGAATCCTTCACAGATGTCTGAAATGCTCCAACTCTTAAATCACACACAGGGCATTGTGTTTATCTCAGATTATACAAGGCTCTTTCAGATCAGGTAGAGAGCCTCAGGGCTAGACCAAGCTGAGTCAAAATAGGTTTCACAAATAGACATCATACCTGTCAGTCATCAGGAACTACAAACCAATAAAAAAAGTACACATGGAGACTATAAAGGAGGAAAAACCCATGGAATCAGACTACCTATCTCAACTTGTTGAACTCAAGCAGCCTAAAGAGAAAAACAAATTGCCAAAAGCTAATTCAGTTGAAACTAAAATAAAAAATGATTCAGCATGGGGAGTAACACAGCTGCTGGTTTAATTAATGCACCTGATACTATTCAGACAATTGTTGGGGGGGTCTTTGAGATGTGACCATTAGGTATTTTGGTACTTTATGGCTACAGTATGGAGTTAGCAGGCTGTTTCCAGGACAGAGCAGGGCTATGTGAATGCAAAAATGGAATCAATTTTTTTTATACCTGTTCATTAAAAAAAAACTGAGTGAAAAGTTAAAATATTGAACCAGCAGTAATTCACCAAATCTGTGTTTTCATTTTTGTTTTACCTGTAAAATTGGAATCACTCCCCCTGGAACTTGATAACATGAAATGGAAGGGAGAAGTCTACTGCAGAATTATGAACTGGGTGATTTGTTTTCAATTTCAATTCTCCTGATACCACCTCATCTCAACCAGACTCTTTTCTATGCATTTTCTTCCCTTTCTATGTCCTTATGCTGGTTTATACAACCCACAGTTTCCCACAGCAGTCTTACAACAAGGCCAGGCAGTGCCCATGCTCCCTGACCTTTTAATCTTCTCACCCATATCATTTGGACTCCCACGTGAATGACTCAATGGTGAAGGGTCAACTACCATTCTCTCATAATGGCCAGCCAGTGAATTTTTTTCCCTATCATATAGCATTTGCACAGAACCCATTGCCTTCTTCAGTATAGGAAGGTATGTTTATTTGAGGACAGTGATCCTTTTCTCAAAGTGTGCCAGGTAAAGGAGGCCCTTATAGGAAGCATGCTGAGGTACAAAGTTCCATAAGTAAATAGGGTCATTGTTATTGGCTATATAGGAAATTATGATGAAGGGCCTATTGCTGATTACTAAACTTTCTCTGGAGCTAAGTCATAGCCACAGCCCTAAGGCTTGTTTCAAGACTTATCACTTTGGTGATGATGATGATGATGATGATGATGATGATGATGATGATGATGATGAGATAGCTTGCACTTATCATCTACCAGGTGGGATTTAAGTGCTTTGACATGTATTAAGTTTTTAGTCCTTAGAAAATCCTATGAGGTAGGTACTGTCATTTTCCCTGTTTTACAGATAAGGATACTAAAGCACAGAGAGGTAAAGTGACTTGCCCAAAGTCACACAGCTTATAAATGATACATCTGTGATTCTAACCAAGACAGCATGTCTTTATAGTTTCATGCTCTGAAGCATTGAATTCATGGGTACTGTTCTCTATGAGAACATTGATTTTAATTGGATCCAAACTTGTACTAGAAGAGTCTGACTGGCAGATTTCATAGAAGTCCTTTCAACTTACTGATATTTTAGATTTATTTGAAAGGTTCCAACTTACTTTTCCAAGTCACCTAAAAGAGTGAGCACACTTCTGTGGAAAAGACAAGGAGCACAGATTTATTTTCAGGTGTCCAGCTCTAACTTCTGCCTGCAAAACAGTTGAAGCTTAGTACTGCTGCCCCTTGTGTGGTAGCACTAGGAGAGGAGATGGTAGCTGGTGGTAGAAGATGCAGTTCTCACAGCCAATGGGACTGTAAAACTAACTTTGTCATATTGGCAAGGCAAAGCAGAAGGAATGAACTCTTTGATCTTCTTTTTTTCCCTTTTCCTGTACTTGATTTAAGGCTGCTGTAGCTCATTTACTTGAAATCATCTAGAGAAATATGCTTGATGGCGGAGCACCATGCTCACCTTTTCCTAGGAAGCTTCCCCATGGGCACCCACAGACAGTCTCAGAAATCTCTTTTTCTCTTCCCCAGGAATTATTTGGAGCTTCAGAGTTCTCTATGGCCAGCCAGGAGTTTGCAAAGTACCTGCACTTACTTCAGAATTTATGGGTGTGGGACCTAGACATCAGTATTTTTTAAAACAAAGTTCCCTAAGTGATTATAATGTGCAGCCCGGCCTGTGAACTACTGACAACCTCTTTGTCTTCCTTACTTTACAAAAAGAACACCTGACTCTCATCACACCCATTAAACACTGTGAAATATACACACAAATACACAAACACACCAGAATTTAGTTGCTTGCTAATTTTGTTCCCCCACCCCCATTTCCCAGGTAGAGACCATTGGAGATGTTTAAACATGATGGCCTCAGGCCTCCCAAAAAGGAGTGGCAGAATGCAGCTGAGATTGCAAACTTGTTCCTAGAGATTCTGAGCTCTGTGGATACCTTTGAGATCCGGTGTATGCCAGAGGTGCCAATCCGGATTTGAATAGGCCTGCACTCAGGTAACAATGACCAATAAAGCAAAAGATGACATTCCCGTATGTCTAAAGGGAAAACTAGAAAAGGAGGGAGAGGGTGTCACTTTCTTGATTACTAGAAGTTGGATTATCCAGGTGTGTAGTGTTGCATAATTCCTTCAATCTTACTCAAGTTTACTCTCTTCCCAGTGGGCAGCAGTCCTTGCTCAAGGTACGAAACCCTTTCAGCTTACCTTTCTTTTTTTTTTTTTTTAACCAAGCTCTGGCTAGTTTTATTAAAGAAAAATTTTGCATGATTTACTTTTCACCAGTCTGTTCTGGCATGCTTCTGATGATGTCAGAATCACCTGTATCAATGATAGCTAGTGTGCACACTCTGTATAGTATTTCCCACACACTGTTCGCAGTTCAATATTGTTGCCACAGTAGTGATGGACACCAGTCTTGGCCAACATGGCATAGTACTCTATTTCAGATTTCCTCAGGGCTGGGCAGTTGTTAGTGAGGATGACCATTTTGGCTTTGTCTTATCGGATCATCTTCTGAGTCTGCTTGTACCCCACCATGTACTTGCCACTTTTCATAACAAATTGGAGCATAGTTGATCAACTCCAGTGACTGTTTCATCTTCTCTGCGGCCACCATCTTCTTGACTTAGGTGCAGGACAGACCCCTACCCAGTGCAGCCACCAAGATCTACCTTTCTTGTTAAAGCCAACATTTCCAAGTTTGACTATATGATACATAATCAACATGCATGTGTTGTATATAGGATAATTCACTTATTTAAAATCTCAACTCTTGAAGTACTTGTCTTCCACACTACTTCCAACTTGCTTGAATATCTTCAGGATTTCCCTTTCATTGTATCCTTCTTATCTACCTTCACAAATTCACAAGGTATCCTGACAAATATCTCACTTGATGTCACAGATATCTCACGTAGTAGCCCTTGCTCCCATCTCCACTCACCTCCTTTTTATCATTGCTTTATTCTTCTAGGCTCCTTTTCTTCCCCCATCCTTTTCACCCATTTCCTACCAAATTTCTTAAAAGTGATTGATACTCACTATACCATTTCTTCAGTACCCACTTCCTCTTTTGCCCCTTTGTAATCTGGTTTCACCCCTCACCACTTTTCCCAGTCCTAGTCTGCTCATAAGTCGACAACATTTGATATTCTTGACAGTCCTTCCTAAAACTTTCCTCAATTGGCTTTTCTGACATGCTCTTCACTCACTGAATGATTCTTCTCCATTTCATTTCCTCTCTTAGCAAGTCCTGCTCACTAACTATGGCTGTTTCTACACTTTCTGCAAAACCCTGAGCAATGGTCTTCTTGCTCTGTGCACATTCTAACCTCTAATTCATTCTCAACCCACTGCAATGTGGCTTTCATTTTTCACTATTGTCTGATACTGATAATCTCTTCTGTCTCCATCTGTCACTTAGATATTGATATTGCTTAGGGTTTTGCCATTTATCCACTGTTTTTCTCTCCTTGTATACTCTTCTGATTTCATGTCTATTATTTAACTACCACTTGTGTGCTGATGACTTCCAACTCCACAACTTCAGCATATGTCTTCTTTCTTAAGCTTTATCCTTGTATATCAAAATTGCTGCTAACATTGCCACATGAATGTTCCACATGGACATCAGACTCAACACATCCAAAACAAAATGATTTTTCTCACACAAAATTCCTCCTTTTTCTGTTTTTATTCTCAATTTTAATTGATGGAATCACCATTCACCTTCTTATTTCAGTTAGTCTTGGGAGTCATTTCCCTTGACTCCTCCCTTACTCTGACTTTCACCATTCAACCAACTAGTAAGTCTTGAATATTTTACCTTTAAAATATTTCTTCAATATGTCTTACCTCTTCTTGACTCTCAGTACTCAAGCCTAGGCCACCAGCATCTCATGCCTGGATCATTGCAACAGCATCTTTTTGCTTCTACTCCTCTTCCTATCCATCTTTCTCATAGTTATTAGCATAATCTGTGTTTGTTTATCTGTCTTTCCTTTAAACTATGTGCTCCCTCATGGATGGAATCATATCTTACTCATTTTTGTATACTGAATGCTTCACACATTGTAGGTATTCAATATTTTTCTTGTAAAGAAAAACATTCATTATCTCATTTGTACTTCAGTTTCACATCTCCACCCCCCCCCCAGTGTATATATTTTTGGTTGACCCATCATTCTTTGAATTGAACATATCTAAAACTTCAGGTCACCTTTCCCCACAAACCAGCATAAGCTCATCAGTCCATGCCAGTTTCCTCATGGTTGTCAATCAGATAGCCAGCAAGTCTGTTGATTCTTCTTTCACAAGTTTCTCTTTCACTAACTCTTCATGCCCCTTAACCATCATCATCTCCTTTCCAGTACTCACAACATTGTGATTGGATTAATGAAACAACCACCTAACAGGTTTCCCTGCTTATACTTTCTCCCCTTTCAATGCATTCTATATAATGGTCTGAGGGGGGAAAAAGAAAAGAAAAATAATTTTCATCATATAATTCCTTGTTCAAACTTATCTAGTGCTTCAGGGTCCTACAGCTTGTACAACCTAATATCCAACCCTGTCTTCAGTTTCTCCCTAGATACCTGAACTACACAGACTGGTTTCTCTATGAGCTTCCCAAAATTTCATGCTCAATCTCAACCAAAAACCTTTGATTCTTGTCCCTTTTTTCCTATTCAAATCCCACCTACTCATCAGGATCCAAATAAAATTCTACCTTCTCCACTGAATGCTTCTTGACTGAATCAAATCCTAATACCCCACCCCCTGTTCTAAGCTGTTATAGCACTTCTGCCTACAGTATTTATCTTGCCTCAACCATACATTGTTTTGGGTTGTTAGTTAATTGCTTCCTGTTTACTAATCTCTTTTTTTTCAATTAGTCTATAATATCCTGGAGAACTGAGATTATATGTTACATTTTTTATTCCCCTAGGTGCCTAGCTGAGTGCTCAGTGAATCCTTCTGAATGGGTGAGAAATTTATTAAAATGAAAAGCATAGGTTCCTTAGTTCTTAATTTTATTCTTACAAATTAAAGTTCAGATAGAACTTTTGGAGGCAAAAACACTAATTGCTTTCTCTAACTTAGGAAACAGCAAAACAAAAAAATAGTGCTGAGCAATTATAATGTAGAAACAGTGTAGAAATGAAAAAGGTGAAGGTGGGGAACTTCTTAGATACTCCTGAACTAGATTTTCAGTATGGTTGCTGACATTTTTTCAAGTAATTTCAACTCAGTGAACACCTAACATGGTTATATTAAAATGTAAGGACAAAAAACATTCTTAGTGCAAATAGAAAATATTCTTGGATCATCTCTATATACTGCTCTTTCATGCACCTAATACGAATGCTTGAAAGTCAACTCTACTTTTTAAATTTTAAAACTGTCATAGCAATAATTTTCTTGATAGACACAGTTTGAGAGACATATAGCCCTATGGCATTCCTTCTTCCAACACAAAGGCACAAGAAAGTGTCACATTTTTCCTTGCAACAAACATGTTTGGAATCTGAGTCCCTGTGTAGGATTTTCTGGTTTGAGTTTGATGCTTATTTGTCCCTGCTGACAGATATAAGCATCTTGAGTATAACTGTTGCTTGCTTGAGTATTTATAAAGGTATAAATGAGGAGGGTAGTCATGTCTGCATCATTATAAACTTGCTCTTCATAGGGCAAAGAGTTTCTTATTCATTATAAGACTTCTTACAAATTTCCAGAACTATTTGGTGGCAAGTTTATTCTTTTATGCAGTTACATTTCTTCCCTGGGAAGTGCTCCTCTATTAGCGTTGGATGCATACCTGTTGACTAACCCTAACTGCCTACTACTCTATAAGGCCCCTTGTTGCTGGAGTGGTGGGCCTCACCATGCCAGATACAGCTTGTCAGAGACACTGTGAACACAGCTTCTTGGATGAAATCAACAGGGTTACATGAGTACCTATAGCAGGATAGATGGGGTGGTAACCTCCTACTTTTGGGAAAGAAATTCTTTCTCAAAAGAGGAGAAAGTGAGCAAGGTACTTGGTGTTTTGATGTTTTAAAGAAAAAAAAGATAATTTGAGAAGATTAAGGAAATTTAACACATATTTTCTAGTCTCATGGCAAACCAGTAGGGAGTGATGTTGGATTGAACATGTTATGTTCTTGTTCTAGAAATGAACCTGTAGCTAAGTGACATTAAAACACCTAGTATTTGATCAAAACAACTAAAAAAATAAATTCTTTGGGTAAAGGAAAAAATTGGCTAGCTTGGTGGGTTTGGGGGAGTCATGCTGAAAAGAGAAATAGCTAAGGAACTGACATTTTTAGTTTTTCACCTAGTTTGTGGACACACATGCAGAATCAGTTGCTTTCTAGCCAGCTCCCTCCTATGCTTCTCTCGTCCTCTTTTTGAACTAGTTAGGTCTCCTTGAGTTCTGGCTTCATCAAATAGGTCCCTTGAACTTAACTACCAATAATCTCTCAACCTAAGGAGCTTGGGATTCTGAAATAATTAATTCCAACTTGCCTGTACATAAAACCCTTAGTTTCTATCAAAATATCCATGGTATCAATGATATGACTCCTTTCACCCTTCTTTGAGAAGAAAACTTACAAACCATCATTGCATTTGTCTGCTTCCAGCAACTTTTTCTTGGTTATGTACTGCTACTACTAAGGCAATGTCAGAATTACAATGTGCCTTTATCTATATCCTGGCTGAGCAAAGTGATTTGTTCATGCTACTATGGGAAGAACATAGATTTTATATATAGTTTTTAATGGTTTTTATATTTAAAAAAACACTTAGGCTCTTAGCATCTCTGGCTTTGGCAGTTGCCAGGCAAGACAGCTCTTGCCAAATTTCAGCAATATACACAAACTGGTTCCTGATGACAGGGTGGAGTATATCACGGTGGGTGATGCCCTGTCTGATCCCACTCCTTGTGACTCATGTGCAGAAATAGGCTTGCAAAATGAGTCCAGTCTTAGTCAACCAGCCTGTGCACCCATAATTGTGGAGGCAGCATGGAACTTAGAAGCTGTTGTCAGACAGCTTTTCTGACACCTGGAAAACTCTACAGATGTGACTAAGTCCATGGACATAGCTATCCAAGAACTGCTAAGCATATGACTTTGTTTTTGAAGTGCAACTGAAGATGAAGTGAAATTGATCATGGAACTGCAAAGCAGATTTGGCATAGTAGCCTGGACTAATGTGAGCTTGTAGAACATTAAAGTCATATTTTGGTCTGCACCAAGGGAACTCTACACATTTCACATTGAATATATAGAACTGATAATAGAAATTGAATTTTCAGATTTAAGCAACTCCTTACCCAATGATCAGCTAGAAACAAGAAAATGGAATGAATCATATGCAAAAGACATTTATTAAGTACTGACTATGCACAGAAGGGAGGAATAAAAGAAATATAGTGGTCTTTTCATTAAAAGAGCTGGTTAGTGTGCTCATCTGGAAGCTAATAACTGTAACTAAAATATGGCATTAAACTCTACACTTGATTGAATGTCTGTAAAGAGGTAGTCTCTAACCTCATTTTGGATATGACACTGGGGGAATATCACAGGTCTATTGAAAATCAACTTCATCAGTACCTCATTTGTAGCCAATTGTATTTACTGATACTAGAGTGGGTGTGACTACTGACACAGCTCTGGAGTGATCCTCCTTGTCACACAAATAGATGGTGGCCTGAATGAGCTAGCACAGTTGCTCTCTTTTAAAACATTTTTTCCCCAAGATGGCAGTGATATAAGTGTGAGCAAAGCCCACTTCCCCCTGCACACGGGTGAAACACTTAGCCTATCTACTTAGGAACAGAGTGAACAGCCAACAGTACCCCAGCATATATGAAGATAGGAGACCAAAAATTGTAGCTGGCATTGAAAGACCAGACAGTAAGGAGAGTGCTGCAGACAATAAGGTCCTTGGGACCAGCACAGGGACCAGGGGGGCTGCAGCCCCCAGGCCAGGCACCCACTGGGTCTGCCACAGGGTTCTTGGGGGAGAGCTGTCTCAACGGCTCCCTCCCCTGCCAAACAAGGTTTGAGCAGCAAGCACCAGGAGAGACCTGGTTGCTTGAAGTCCCAGAGAGGGGAATAAGGACTAAGTGGCAAACACACGGGGCTGTGAGCACTCAAGGAGCCTGTGGATGCCGGCTGGGGAGAGTTGAGAGTTGGGCCATGATGGGCCCTGACCTGGATAGTCCCCAGTCTGGTTGGAGAGGTGGGCTGTGTGAGAGGAAAGGCCTCTGTATGGAGTGGCAGGCCTGAGCAGGAGGAATTTCTCAAAAAGAAAAAGGGAAAAAAGAGACACTTGGTGGATGTTCAGAGAATTCTCCTGCAGCAGCCACTCTGGCCTCCTCCCCACCCAGCCACATGGCTCTCCCAATGTGGTGAGGAAGGCCCCTGCCCACACTTCCATAGTCCTGGGAAGAGTAGGCACTGAACCTGAGGGACCAGAGGTGGCCCGACCAAGCGTGCATGCCCGAAGCCCTGCAGAGAGTGCCCTCTGAGGAAGGCCCAGTGCCCACACCCAAAGCCCCCAGGAGAGTGCAAACCCAGACCAGAGGCTGCTGGGGAACTGGGCTAGAGGCTGACTGAGTGCCGATCAGGAAGAGAGAAAAGCAAAATCAATCACTCCTCAGCCTGCTGCAGCCAGGAAAGACCAGCAAAACTGGCTTCACCAGTTTGAAGCCAGTGGGAGGCTTTTAAAAAAAAATTCCTTTTTTTTTTCTTTTAACTCCTTCTTCCTCTCTTTCCTTCTTTCTTGTTTTATTCCTTCTTCCTTTCTTTCCCTTTTTGTCTCTTCTCCCTTCCTTTTTTTTTATAATTCCCACAAGTGAGACAAAAAAACCCTGGAACTGTGAAAAAGACCACAGTTGGACCAAAGAGGGGGCATCCCAACAGCTGAGACAGTGAGACATATTTCACATTGCTACTACAGAGAACTTGCAAGCTATCGCATATTTGTACTATTATTTTTTCATTAGTCTTACATCTTTTATTTTATTAGTATTTTTGTATTCCTCATCTTTCTGTATAGTCTGATTTGATAGGCTGTTTATATTGTATCATTTGACGGGTTTCCCCTGATAACTCTTTCATAGTGCATTGTTAATTTACTGTGTTTCACTAGACTTGTGTTCCATTAGCACACTACTCTAGGTCCTGTACTTCCTATTCTGGTTATCTGTATCTCATAGATTCTGTCATTCAGATTATTGCTCCATTATTGTAAATAATAGCTCCTTCATGCAATTGTAAACACTACACAGCACCCCTCCCAGGTCTTAGCCCACTTCACGGTTTCCTGAACTCTATTACTGTTGTGCTTAACTCTATTGTCTCACACACTACACCTATTTTCTATCCTTTCCTCTCACTTTACCTCATAATCTGACCTACCACAAATTCACTGCTTTCTAAATCCAACTCACAATTCTCCCCCCCTCCCCAACAAGAGTCTTATCTTCTTTCCACCATTTCCAAAAAAATGGCTACTTGGGTGAAAGATCATGGTTAACACTATACATAGGAAAGGATCTCCTATCTCTTCTCTATGGACTAGTACTGTAAGTATGATAGAATATATTCTTGTTAACTTAAACACTTTTGCCTCCCTCTCCACTGATCACAAAAAAGAGTAGGTGGAAGCTGTGAACACCAGGATGCCTGCTTGAAGAAGAAACCAACAACAAAGGAACTACCAAGAGATAAAAACAGAAGAAAGTGAAGGAGACAGTAGAAGCCACACGAATTCAATTCAGGACGTGTCTCGAAGTACAACTAAATAGTGGAGAAATTACGCAGAACAAACAACTGAATAAGAACAAGAGAGAATGCCCAAAACCTTGTACACAAGGAAGAACCAGCTTCAACACAACTTGCCACACCTGCACAACAGAACACTAGAGGTGGTGGACAGAGTGACCCTCAGTTAACCAGATGGTGGAAAGGACCCATAAAAGAAAGTCTCAACAGCAATCAAAACCCAAAGAAATATTCAGAGGTAAAATCATAGTGATACAGGTCTACCTCAAAAAGATAGAAACATTTCAAACAAACAATCTAACTCTGTGCCTACAAGAACTTGAGGAACAACGACAAAGACAACCCAGGGCAAGTAGAAGGAAGGAAATAACCAAGATCAGAGCATAATTAAATGACATACAGACTAAAAGCACAATTCTAAGGACCAATGAATCCAGAAGCTGGTTCTTTGAAAAGATATACAAAATTGACAAGCCTTTAAGGAGACTCATTAAGAAAAAAAGAGACAGGACCCAAATAAACACAATCAGAAATGAAAGAGGAGAGATTACAACTGACACCAGAGAAATACAAAAGGATTGTAAGAAATTACTATGAAGAACTATATGCCAAGAAACCTGAAAACCTAGGTGAAATGAACAAATTTCTAGAAAAATATAATTTACCAAAACTCAATATAGAAGGAGCAGAAAGCATGAACAGACCAATAGCACCTGATGAAATTGAAACAGTAATGAAAAAAGCTTCCAACACACAAAAAGCCATGGACCAGGCAGTTTCACAGGAGAATTTTACAAAGCATTTAAGGGAGAGCTAACCCTCATCTTCCACAGATTATTTCAAAAAGTCAGGAAGATGGAAGACTTGCAAACTCTTTTGATGAAACCAACATCATCCTAATCTCAAAACCAGATAAAGACATAACAAAGAAAGAAAACTTCTGGCCAGTGTTGCTCATGAACATAGATGCTAAAATCCTGAACAAAATATTGGCAAACTGCATCGAGCAATATATTGAGAAGATCATACACCATGACCAAGTGGGATTCATCCCAGGGATGCCAGGATGGTACAATATTCACAAATCAATAAACATAATCCACCACATAAACAAAATGAAAGACAAAATTCATATCATCTTATGAAGAGATGTGGAAAGGCATTTGA